ATTTTCTGCAATTCTTTTTTAAGTAGGAAAAGAACTCTATTTTTATTGGCTTATTGCTTGAATGATCAAGTTGATAATAGTTATTAATATCTTCAATATCAATATTCAACAGGTTTTTAATAGTATTTTGTAGGTCATCAAGAGTAATGTTTTCGTAGTTTAATCCAAAGATCAATATATTGTTCTTTTATGCTCCCCGTTACAGAGTTTCCACTTTTGTTTTCAATAAAACATTTTCATTTTCAAGTTCTGTGACTCTTTTACTGAGCAACTCTATTTTTAGAGATAATCTTGTCTCACATGCATGTATTGTATGTATAATTTCTGTTATATTTGTTAAAATATCTTGTCTTAGGCTATCAATTGATTTTACTATGCTTTGTGCTTCTATTTCATTTTTAGGGCTCAATTATTTTATATTAAAGTTAAATCCCCTTGAGACGACTATGGTGTAGATAATTTTAACCTTATCTGCCTATGTTTTCTAATTAGGTTAGAATTATTTGGTAGCTGAATTGTAATATTTATAGGACTAACCTGGTTTTAGAGGCAAACTGTATAAGCTACTGCTTCTTGATGAATGTAATTTTTGTACTGCACTTCACAAAAATAAATATTTTCAGTTTTTACACTTATATATTAGAAAATATTTCCAGAGTAATTAAAACACGTGTATATACGTACAGAGGCGTACCTCAAAGTTTTGTTTAGTTTTATTTTTCTATTCTTTTCTTACTCTAATTTCTATATAACTGTTTTTATATTTGATTTCTCTTCTTCTTTTATGATATTATGGGCTTAATCCGAGGACTATCCGCCCAGGAAAGTTATATTTGATTTAAAATTTAATATAGGTGTCTAAATCTAGATGCATTTTAGCAATATAAATTGTTCTTTCTACATCCATTAACCTTATAGATTAGATTACTTCTAAAGTGGGTACAGGCTCTGGGAATACGCCCAGATGAGATATTGGTGTGTACAGTAGAATTTGTTCCACACATTTTAAAAAGACGAAATTTATTTTCTTCACGGCCACTTATAATTCCGAAACCACTTGTAATAACAAAAAAGAAAACATTATCGCTCTTGAAATTACTTGCCTCTTATGTATTTTACACGTATTTCATTCTAACTCGAGAGGCAGAATGTTCATTATGTAATAGCTACTGGCCAATGGCTATGAATATCACGCCCGCATCGTAGATAGTCATGAATTTCATGATTGACAGTTTTACGCGACGTATTAGTATTTAGTTTTAATTTGGCTAAATAAAGATAAGCGGCGTTTATTAAGTCGAACTTAAATTTAAAAATTGGTTAATATAATGATCATTATATCGTCGGCTGGACTGCAAAACCTCGTATTTGATATTTTTGACTTATTTGTGTAGTTCAATAGCTCGTATGTGAAAAATGTTAGAAAGTTTTTTATTTTTGTATGTTCAATGTTAATATCCAAGAAGGGAATGTATTTTGAGTTTTAATAAACAAAAGTATAACATTAAAATCGATAATTTATTCTTTCAGACAGGTTTTACCCTCTCCTGTAAAATTATTGGAAACGCAGATACGAGGTTTTGCAGTCCAGCCGACGATATGGAATTTTATAATATTCCTTCTGAACTGGCAATTTATGCAAATAATTTAAACACAAGTTAGATTAAATATTTCATTTTATTCTTTATTCAAAGTTTCTTTTTACTATATTCAACTCCTACTGTGTCTGTGACCGTGTTAGAATATACTATTATTGTTCCGATGATAGAGTTAATTTTTTTTACGAAGAGGAGAACAATAATTTATTAGGTCCTCGACCTGGTCCAATTTAGACAAAAAATGAATTATTGCTATTAACCTCAATGTAAGACTATTACTTATTTGAAATGGTTGTTTTTAATAAAAATGGTTTTTAGGTACTGCAAAGTTAATATTCTTTAGAATATTTTATTTCCTATAGGAATGAAAGGCCAAAAAATCCGTTGAATCTGCACTTTCCCAACAGAGTTTTGTATTTTCACGTTTTCTATCAATCAGAAAATTTTACAGATACAGATTGTCCAAATAGGAAAAATTTAATGTATTAATATTTCTTCACATAGTAGTTTAAGAATTTTATAGGTTTTCTTTTGAGAAACCAACATTTTAAATATAGATCCAAATTTAAAATTGTACCAAAATCGTTCTCGTCAAATTTTAAACAACTTTTAAAAATGTCCGTCCATCTGATGTCATGTTTTTTGTCCGCACGATAAGTCAAAAACGAAAAATGATACCAACTTCAATTTTCAGAAAAAAACAAGGTTTGTAAAAGAACGGAGTCTATGAATAAACATACAATTTTTAATAAAAATCACGTAACTCAGAAACAGAAAAAGATAAGTTGTTTTAGCAAAAATCAAGATCATCGATTCTGAAAAAAATCTAATTAAAAATGGGGGGTTAAGGAGTTGAAATTAAAAAAAAGAATCAAAAACGAAAAGTGATATCAACTTTAATTTTCTGGAAAATCAAACTCTATAAGGGAAAGAAACCTATTTAATTAAAAAAAAAATCTGATTAAAAATGAGGGGGATATGAGGGGGATAAGTGGGGTTAAAATTAAAAAAAAACCAAATTAAAACAAAAAATCAACTTGACATTTTCAAGAAAAATCAAGTTCTATAAGTGGACGAAGCTTATGAATAAAAATAGGGCGGTCAAGGGGGGTTGAGATTGAAAAAAAAATCATAAGGGGAAGAAGCCTATTGATTCCGAAAAAACAAATCCGAATAAAGATGAAGGGTTAAGGGAGGTTGAAATTTAAAAAAAAAATTAAAAATCAAAAACGAGAAGCGGTATCAACATGAATTTTTTTAGTAATAACAAAGTTCTATAAAGGGCCTATTGATTCTGAAAAATATATTAATAAAAATGAGGTATTACGGGGGGGGGGGGGGGGATTTACGCGTACCTCTACCTCGCCGCTTCACTATTTGTGTACCCTTACTTTAAAAAGCGATATCAACTTGACATCTTCAGGAAAATCAAGCACTATAAGGGTATGAATCCTGGTTTTGAAAAAAATATTTAAAATGGGGGGGGTTAAGGGAAGTCTGTTAAACTGTGAAAAGTATAAATAGAATTCAAAGCAATTATATATCTTTATTTTAGTTTGAAATTGTTATTAATAAAAATGATTTTTAAGTGTGTTAATATTCTTCAGAATACTTGGTTACCAAGGAATGAAAGTCTAAAAAAAAATTTATTTTCTATTTAATCAGCAAATTTTACAGGTCGCCTGTCCAGAATAATATTGTCCTAACTCCATTTTGTAATTTTTTAGAGAAAAGGGGAATTATGTAATGCATATACCTGTATTAGCGAGAATATTTTAAGTATGTAGTTTCGTTACCTTAGTATTTTATTACTAAGCCTCTTTCAATCCTATTTAGGATATTTCATTACACTACCTTTAAAGTAATTATGATCCTGTAAAAAATTACAAAATGGACAATATTATTCTCGACAGGCGAGATACAGATTGTCCAAATAGGTAAAATGGAAATTTAATTTATATTTCTTATATGAATATCATCTCGTTACTTTCTCAGTATGTCATAAAGTTATTTTTTATAAAAACTTCATTACTGTATTGTTTGATGCATTTTATAGACAATGTTATATAAAATATTGTTTAAAAAATACGTCAAGTTATGTACCTTTGATGATGCTATATTAATGGCTAGAGAATAGTTATAAATTGGAAAAAGATCCGATAAACCGAATTGGAGTGGAATTAAAAGTTATGACGTTGTGACGGCAACCTTGAGTTCGCAGGTTCGATTCCTACTCGTAGCGAATCTTTTTCAAAAGAACAATTTTCCCAATTTTTCTCTGGTTTGTTTTTACTTCTCGGGGTTTGTAACATTTTAAAAGTCTAATTATAAAATGTTATTTTAAATGTGTGCCATCCGGTATAATTCAATTATCGCCACACACAATATTCTAAAGAAAGGGAAATTTCTTAAAGTGGGAATACCATTAACCAAACGATCTCGCATTAGATTTTTAAATTTCATTTACTATTGCCTTCTGCTCGTATCTGGTGGTGCTTTGACTGTTATAGTGAAAACGAATGAAATCAGCCATAACTCAACCGCTGTAAACCACACGCAGTAATTCACACGCTGAAACCCTTAAGCTATAACCTACACGCAGTAATCTACACGTTGTTAATTGATCGAGCTGAGTTAACGTAAAAAGCGACAGTTACAACTCGAAGTTACTAGGAAGAAAGAGTAACCGACAAAGGCGTTGGTTCCAGAGGGGCAGAAATGTCAACTATCTACAAATGAAGTGGCTAGCAAAAAAGCAAAAATGTGGTAATTACTAGTGACTAAAATTATTTATGATCGAATCAAAATTGATACCTGATAAACTGTAAATAATTTGTTTTCTGAACGGTTTCTTGTTTTCTGAATAAAATCGTTAATTTTTATAAATATATATGTTGAATCTTATTTTTTAAAGGTTACAAAAATTCTCTTTTATTCACACTAAATTCTGTATAAGTTTTTATTAACTTCTTTTTATTAATAAAGCTAGAGTTTATAATTCTCACTAGCTTTTAAAAATAAAAAAAGAGAATTATTGGTGCCTAACATTTCCTAGAAAAATTATTACCCTAAAATTGTCTATTTGAAAAGCCGAATTCACGACAGAAAAGTATGGTCAATGTGCTCATTTATTTTTTTTTTTAATTTTTAAGGTAAGTAACATTTGCTATTAAATTTCACTGAGCTAGTAAAAATCTCTATAAGTGTTTTGAAATTAACATTTATCAAAAAGGTAACGAATAATATTACAAAATGGTGGGCAAAGTGTCAAGGTAATATTGCAGGTTTTGAAATTTATTCCTGAACTTCTTTAAAAATAAATGTATTCTATAATCAACAGTCATAAAGTAGGTATTCCTGGACTCGTATAGGAATGTTATTGTGTAAAATTTGTATACTTACAGCATTTATAAGAAGCCAAAATACCATCAATGTCGACGGCGTGGTAATATTCAAAGACGGATTTTCCTAATAAATCGTTGGAATCATAACCAATAATTTCGTTCATTCTGAAAATAAAAAAATAAAGAAATTAAGAATGAAAACATCGCCATAAAATCTCTTTTTTGTATATGCTTTTTAACTGTAATTACATTTTGGCCGGTCATTACTTCTTTGTAATGCTATTTTTCTGTTATATTGGAACATTAGTAAGTATACATGAATGTGATATTTTTGAGTGCTTATGATACTTGAAAATGACGGTAAATTATTTTGAAAGTAATGTACTTCTGTTACACTGTAGCAACGAGCCTGAGCACTTGGGGAGTGCTTGCGTCATATCAAGTTGTTCTAATTTTTTGCTGATTTGTTTATGATGTTAGATCAATGAATAATCAAAGTTTTCCATCTCGAACATCAAACGCAAGAAAGAAAGGAAGAAAAATCTTTATTTACTCCAAAAATACCTTTAGAGGTGTAGAGCATGTTCATAAATATAGTTTATACATAAATAAATACACATTAAACACATTTTTTACATAATACAAATACATTTTTATAATTATTATATTTGTTCTTAATAATCAATACTTTATATAATTACTGAATCACAGAAGAATTCGTCTAAGTTGAAATATATTCCACCTGTAATAGGTTTGTACCGTTGGTTGGATAATAAATTAAAAAGTTCTTTAGTGCAGAAGGCATCTTAAAGGTATTATAGATATGTTCAACTTCATTGATCTCAAACAGATCGTAATTTTGTTTGATAAATATAACACAGGGCAACAAAAAAATATTTTTTTTGGTGCCTGGGATTTTAGAGCTGATTTTAACTATATTTGGGACGCTAAATCTGTACATGCAATCCGTTTTTCTCTATCAGCTCTACTTTTTTAGATACATCAACTTATCTACCAATGTGGTTTTTATTCAGTATATTCATTTATGAGAGTTCTAAAATTATTATATATTCATTAATGTAGGTACAATGGTTTTATTGTCAGTCTGTAATTGAGTAAATTCTAGGTAAATCTATAAATAGTGGAACCATTGCCTATCAGGTACCTGAACTGACCCTTTTAATCCCCTAACTTGGGTAAGTCTCGTCAGTTTGTGCGTTCTTACTAATGAGAGTAGATCGAATTCGGCGTGTTATTTTATGTTAAGAAAAGAGTGTTTTTGTGTTGTTGAACAGAATTAAAATGAGTTCAGGTTCCAGTTCAAGAAGAAGTTGTGTAAATCAACCTGATGTGTTTTGCTATATATGCGGAGAATACATGTTTCAACAAAACAGACAAACTATTACTGACTTTGTAAAGCGAGCGTATCTTGAATATTTTGGAGTTAACCTTGGTGATCAGGACAAAAAGTGAGCCCCGCATCTTGTATGTAAAACTTGTACAGAGCATTTACGGCAGTGGACTACCGGGAAAAGAAAATGTCTAAAATTCGGCGTACCAATGGTTTGGAGAGAACCAAAAAACCACTTCAATGATTGTTATTTCTGTTTAGTAAATACTAAAGGAATCAATCGAAATAACCGCAGTAAGTGGACTTATCTCAATGTAGACTCGGCAATACTCCCTATCCCGCACTCAGATGAAATACCGATTCCAACATATCATCAGCTACCAGATATCTCTGATGACGAATATTTTCCCTCTGATCGCTGTTCTGATGCTAATAAAAGTTCTGATGCTTCCTTAAGAAAATAGGATTGGAAGGGTCGCTATAGGCATTGAGACACTTCCTTAGTGCAGTGGCGACAAAAGGGGGCACAATAGATCTTTTAGGTCGCATTGTATTAACACCCCATTCTCAACATAACATAATGAAACTAACAGTGGCTATGAGGAGACGTCATCAGTTCCTCAACGCTTCAATCAAAATGAATTAAATGATCTCACCAGGGATCTCAATTTATCGAAAAAAGCTTCTGAAGTACTGGCTTCTAGGTTGAACGACAAAAATTTATTGGAACAAGGAACCAAAATTACCTATTACCGTACAAGAGAAAAGTATCTGCTACCATTCTTTTCTCAAGAAGACAATCTTGTATTTTGTCACGAAATTAATGGACTCATGAAAGAAATGGGACTTTCTGAATATATTCCAGATGATTGGCGCCTATTTATTGACAGTTCAAAGCGAAGTTTAAAATGCGTCCTTCTACATAATGGGAATAAATATGGTTCAATACCACTAGCTCACTCAACGAAACTGAAAGAAGAATATAATACCGTAACTTTGGTCTTGCAGAAGATAAAGTATCACGAACATCAATGGATGATTTGTGTAGACTTAAAAATGGTAAACTTTCTTCTTGGGCAGCAAAGTGGTTACACGAAATATCCGTGTTTTTTGTGCCTCTGGGAGATAGTAGGGACAAAACACACCACTGGGTTAGAAAAGATTGACCTCAAAGAGAAAACATGGACGTTGGGGAAAAGAATGTCATTAACGACGCTTTGGTTGAAAGAGAAAAAATCATATTTCCTCCGTTACATATAAAGTTGGGCATAATGAACCAATTTGTAAAGGCTCTTGATAAGAATGGGTCGTTTTGCATATACAGGGGTAAAAATGCATCAGTTGAGCACAGAAAAACTCAGAACAGGGATATTTGACGGCACACAAATAAGACAATTAATTAAGGATCCTGCCTTCATAAATTCAATGAATCAAGTTGAACGAGAAGCTTGGACATCATATGTTGCAGTTGTAGAAAATTTTCTAGGCAAACATAAAGCTCAAAACTATGTTGAAATGGTTAACAAGATGCTTAATAGTTTCAAATCCTTAGGGTGCAATATGAGTATTAAAATACACTATTTACACAACCACTTAGACCGTTTTCCAGAAAATTTAGGAGACATGAGTGAGGAACAAGGTGAAAGATTTCACCAAGATATTTAAGTTATGGAGGACTGCTACCAAGGAAGATGGGACATGCACATGATGGCAGATTACTGCTGGAGTTTAAAAAGGGACTGTTTAAAAAAACATTCAAGAATGTCGCGGAAAAGAAGCTTTCGAAGTGTTGAGTGACTATTTGATTTCTTAAATGTTTTTTTTTTAATTCAGGACATCAAATTGATATAGAATCAGCTCAAAAAACCTCGAAACCAAAACAGCTGTTCCCCTGTGTTATTATTACTGATCCATATAAACCTTTCACTTACAAATCATCATCTGCATGGGTGAACTTCATATCCATATTATGCTTCGTCAAAAAGGTCTGTTTCGATAAAGGACACTCGATGTTCGATGGATGCGGAATAGGTTGACTTACTGCTACGTAACATGTCTTCATATCAGATTGGTCGGAATTTTCATTGTTAGAGGAATTTTTATATTTTATGATATGACCCGTAGAATGGATTACCTGAAAACAATAAGAAAACAGTTAAGAATAAAGCAGGACTTATGAATAGACATATTGTGTTTATCACTAGAATATTTTTCAACTTATAAGAACCAAGCTGTGATGAAAGAATTGGTTCATTTTATACAGTGTTTTAATTATACATGTTAGCGGGTAAACAATTTTTGTGAGATTACTAATTGTAGTATAATGTAGAGAACATCGGCAGTAAAGAGCGGGGAGTGTGGGGAACTGTTGCGGTACTAAAGTATCGCCGGCACTTCTCCAGGCAGAACAATTTGAGTCGCCTTGAGTGTCTAATATGATCAGCTGTGATTGTTGGCTGATTCTCATGCATTGTGTTTTATCGGTAATCATTTGGTAACTAAAATAATTATTTGACTTGATAATTAATAAAATATAACATACATATACAGGTTGCCCCATCAGTGGGTAGACAGATATTTTATTATTGGATATATGAGGAAATGTTTAATATAAAAGTTGTAAGACCATATTTTACAATTATTCTTAAATATACATGGTTAGTCTATAAATGAGGGGAAAACCAAACAGATAGTTTTTTAAACAAAACACCTTACGCCTTACAGATTTGGTTGTTTTCATATCGTTTTATAATTTTAATAGACTAAACGATCCTAAAAATGTTCTAACATTTTCACTTATTTGTTGTGTTGCATACAAAGTGTGTTTAAACTTGAGGTTACAATATTCTCAATTTTTCCAAATATACCACCAATTTATAAAATACTTTCTTTACTTTTTTTATTTTGTTTGGCATTCTATTCCCAAACGAATTTTTTTCTCAAGATTTTGGCGGTTTACCATGAAAATTTACATAATTTTTTCACATCGTTCTAATTGGCTTTTGAAAATATGGACTTATTTAGGGTAAAATGACAATGTAATTTTTGGTAACCCATTTGTCAGAGTTAATGAATGGTTTTCTATTCCTTCGACGTTACAAGTGATATGAACCATTGTAAATTAAAAATTAGTTTAGGCTCAAGAATGCCAAACAAAATAAAAAGTAATGAAACTAAATTATTAGTTAATTAAATATGTGATGTAACATACAGGACATTTCATTAAAAAAAAAAGAAAATCATAATCTTGCATTTTGACACACCCTATATACAACGTAACAAATGAATGGAAAGTCAAAACATTTTTAGGAACGATAGTCTATTAAAATTGTTTGACGATGTGAGAATTGTTATACAAGGGGGTTTTATTGTCAACACACTTCCCTCACTCGGTAATTACAGACGTGACCAACTGGGCAGAGGAAGAATACAACCCATCTGTCTATGATTGGCAAACTGCCACACACATTGTAGACGATGAAAAAATTAGATGGGCTTTACTTCAGTGGGGTCTGGAAGAGCTCACACGGCACCTGGTGGGTATATTCAGATCCTCGTTAGCTCTGAGGAATATTCCCAAAAAATGGAGTGGTAAAAGTGGTATTCATACCCAAACCTGGAAGGACCAATTAGTCTGACATCGTTTTCCATGAAGACATTGGAAATGATATGCGAAAGGTACATAAGGGATGCTGTCATCACAACAACACCACTACACCCAAACCAACATGCAGACACCCCAGGCGGATCCACTGATTCAGCCCTTCAACTAGTTGCTGTCAGGATAGAGATCCCTGGACAATAAGGAGTTCGCCTTGGGTGTTTTCATAGACATAGAAGGTGCTTTTGATAAAGGCACCTTTCCCAAGATAATACACTCACTAAACAACAAGAATGTTCCACAAATGGTTAGTGAGTGAATACATAATATGCTCTCAAAGCGAGCAGTAAATATAAGTGTAAAAGATGTGAATATAAGAAGCTTGTTTGCGAGGGGATGTCCACAGGGAGGGGTGCTATCACCTCTACTGTGGAACATGGTCCTCGACACCCTCAACAGCCGCCTCAATAATGACAGTAACTACACAAGAGCATATGCAGATGACCTGGTCATTCTGCAAACAGGACAATTTGAGAAAATACTTTGCGAAAGAATGCAAGTAGCTCTCAAAATTATAGAACAGTGGTGTAAGGGCCATTCACTGTCTATCAATCCTAAGAAGACTGAAATGGTCCTTTTCACAAGAAAAAGGATGAACATGGAATTAAAACCTCCAGAACTCCTAAACACAAAACTAAACTTTGCAAAAGAGGTGAAGTAACTAGGACTCGCCTTTGACAGCAAGTTAACATGGAACTTGCATTTAGAAAGCAGAGTCAAACGAGCATACATTGCTTATGAACAATGCCGCCGAACCGTGGGGCGCACCTGGGGCTCCCCCAGAGTCGTCGCATGGACTTACACGGCTATCATAAGACCGATGCTAACATACGGTGCAGTTGTCTGGGTACCAAAAACCCAAAAATTAACAGATATCCGTAAACTAGAACAAATTTAAAGAACAGCATGTCTAAACATAACAGGAGCCATGAAAACAACACCGGCCAGAGCCATGGCAGTCATTCTTAGTCTCACTCCCCTTGAGATTTACATCAAGGAGGTTGCTCTGACGACAATGACACGCCTCCGCACGGTTGGAATACAACCTAATGTTGGATCTGGTGAGGTGAGACGTGGCTTTTGGGAGGAGGCGTTCGATACACTCCCACTTCTTCAAGCGAACATGGACTCAATCTCACCGAGATATATCTTCCATAAGCCATATAAAGTTGTAACAGAACAAATTGAAGAGCCGGAAGTGGCAGGTACGATTCATATCTACACCGACGGTTCTAAAACAAAACAAGGCTCAGGATGTGGAATATACTCCAGATCCTTAAACCTTAACATAAAATGGGCTGTGAGCAATAGTGCAAGTGTAGTTCAAACAGAGCTCACGGGGATTCTCATAGCAGCAAAAGAAATCGCCAGAAACAATATCACTGGAAGGAACATGCTCATCTATACAGATAGCAGACAAACACTACTCACCTTGAACAGACCACGAATTTATTCAGGGTTAGTACTAGAATGTCACGAAGTTTTGGCCGAAGCATCCATCAACAACGTGGTCACCTTAAGAAGGATCAAAGGTCAAGCCACATCGAAAGGTAACCGTTTTGCTGATTCACTGGCCAAGAAATCAGCCAACCAAATACTTTTTGGACCTGGCCCTTCCATTGGCCTGACAAAATCGGTAGTGACAGACCTAATTAAAGAATATTCGCACGTGAAATTCAAGAAAAGATGGGATGAAATAAAAAACTGCAAAGTTGCCGGGAGCTTTTAAGTTATCCTGACAATACGGCAGCAAACAAATACTTGACTATGACTAGACAGAATCTGCGTCTGGTCACAGGTATTCTGACTGGTCACTGCCAAGTACAGAAGGATCTCCATATCATGAGGCTTTTAGAATCCGCACTCTGCAGAGGGTGCGAACAAGAAGATAAGACCATCGAGCATATCCTCTACGATTGATCGACACTCTCATTTTTTAGAAGATTTGTGTTAGGCGAGTGTCGGCTAACACCGGCCGATATAAGAGAAGCACCTCTTGGCGACGTTGTCAACTACATAAAATCTGTAGGCTGACTCACGAGCTAGGATGTGCCTATCATATTAGGAGGATGCACAATGGGCCTAGTGAGGCCTAAATACCATGAGGGTAACCCACCCTCTACACGTTACAGATACAGAGGGGGTTTTATTTTAAAACAGTCCAAGTTTTTCCACCACACATTTATGAACTTTCCTATATACTTAGGAATACTTTTAAAATATGGTCATACAACTTAAAAATGTCTTCGTAACTTTAAAATAAAACAGCTATCGATCAAATACGCAATGATGAAACACCCTGTACATGTATAACATGATGGTATCGTTAGATAGGTAAATTTAAAATGAATTTAATGCTAAAATGATATGTATGGTGTTGCATTCAAATTGGTTGAAATGAAGTTAAAATGGGCCATATTTATGAGATATTTCAAAACCCTCTTATAAGCCTGTATTTTATAGGCTACTTAAATTCTGACAATTTTATTTGGGGTCTATATCATTTTATATCACAAAAAATTTATTGCTTGGCAACCCTGTAATACTTTTTAAAAATATTCTAAGGTTTAATTCAGTATTCCCTAAGAATTCTAAAACTGAGATAAAATAGAGTATTCCATTTAACTTTCCAAGCAAAAGCGTAACACAATATCCAAAAATATTTTTATATTATGTAATTTTTTAATCCATCTAACTTTTATTAAAGACTTGTTTGCGCATCTATCTAAACTTATTACTGTAATTTGATTATTTTGTATTTTACGTTAATATAGTATTTTTTTATAATAAAAAATTGTAATATACTAACATAAATACCTTATGCTCTTGCTAACATAAATGAGGCGAGTTTAATCTTTACCTTTCACTAAGACTGTCATAAAAAAAAGTTTTAATTTTATTGAAAGATGATCGGTGTATATATAAAATTTGTTATCCATACTAACTTTTCATATACAGTAAACAAAAAGAGGAGTATTATTTTATATTGTTTTTATATTTCGATAGATGTATATTTTACCAGTTTTTGAAATTGTAAAATTGTTATATTATTAATTTAATGTTGTTTTTCTCCAGATTTTTTAAATTGGTTCCTCGTTTCAAAAAATAACAGTAATTAATGAAAAACCTGCTTTCTGTATTAACCTTACTTTGTAAACTGCTGATTTTAAGGTTACAGATCTTCCGTTCGTAGTTAGCGTACATTTCATCCTAATAAATAACGATTTGCAACTACTGACATCTTCGGTTTCCTTTCCGGACAGCATTTCTTTAATTTCGTCATGATCGCATGGATGACTGTAATCATACACGTTCTGTCCCAACAAATCGATCTGAAAATTATTTAAAATGAATATTTAAATGTTTAACTATTATTTTATACCAATTTTGTAAATGTGAAGATATAATCCCCAATTCCCCATACGAAATTAAGAAATGTATCCCCACATTCCCAAAATAAAAACAAACCAAAGAAAAATTTTAAAAGCGAAGAAATAAAAAAAAATGAGTGGACCAGTCAGGGATCGAACCTGGATCTTCGGATTATAACCCTCTCGTACAATTTCGATTTTTTAATCTAAGCATTACCATAACGCTCATAACGCAATTGACGTTATTAACCTATTTTTTTTAACCATTTTCATAATTTGCTAATTGCAACTGTAATTAGTTTTGTTCATACTATTCAGATTAATTTCTATATAAATAAATGAATGAACTTGCTACATTATTTAAGGCACAACGATTTATAAAATTCTTACCTGATTTATTCCTAAATATTCATTAACATTTTCTGATAAATAAATGAAGTCACCCTCCTCTGATAAGATCATTACAAAACCGTCCAAAGTTTTCAGAAATAGTGAGCCAGCTGTTGGACTGGTCTCATCTTCTTCTGTTAAATCTGGAACTAAAAATCATTTTTTTTTTTTAAATAAATAATTTTAAATTATATAATGAGGATGAATTCGATTCAATTAAAAATGAGTTGGTGACGACAGAAGGATTAGTTTAAGCATGAAAATGATTTCCTTTATTCAATAGTTGATAACTAAATATCTCCTTTACATACTTTTATCTTAAAGCGTGCTACTTGTATTGTAATAATAGTACTATTGTTATAAAGTATGTTAAATTTCCTACAATGACGCGAGAAGAACGGTATTGAATGAGTGATGCTATCGATTGGACAGAGTACCAGTGTACCAGTCCACTAGCGGTAGATTAAGCGTCTCATCTTTATTTCGAAGGATCCATGGGTTAACATATTATATGTAACTGTAATATGTAATCATTGCATGTTACTTATACAGGATGCATCAATATTTTGGAAAAGTTCCATATCATCCTTGACATATTTTAAAATTACATAGAGGTTGCATGACTCAAGTACGAACCAAACATGTTTCTTTTTAAATCAGAACCCCACTTTATTATTTTAGATTTAGATTACTTTCATTTTTCCATTCTTCTAATATATGGTTTGTAAGTAAATCATCGTTCTGTTGCTAATTACATACTATGGAAAAAAATAGTTTTTTTTAACTACACGAGTTTTTAAATATCTTGTATTACATTTTTCTTTAGTAGCGTTTTTATTCTATGCTTATTAGTATAAATGGTGACTCAAGAATCGTACCGGTTGAAGTTATTCAGAAGAAACTACCGTTCAAGAAAATTATGAAGAATGCTTTCTGTATTTTTCTTTATTTCGTACAGTGACAACTTTCATAATTCCTTACATGACATTTAACAGAATCAACACAAAAGCCAACAAATTTGTACATTCCCCACCACCATCTGATCTTAGGGTATTTATTTTCTTGCCTGACTGATTTTCCAAAAATGATTTAAATTTTATAAATTTGTCAAATGTTTCATCTTTGTACAGCAGAAAATAAACAAATATTTTTCGTAAAAAATCGTCAGTGAAAGTTAACGTGTACTTGGAAGCACTAAGTGAATTTTCTTTCATGGGACCATAGACATCTGTATGGACTGACTATCTCTAAGAAATGTTTGACTCGTCGTCGGTTCGGTCTTTGATTTCTGACAATTGGAGCACGAGTTTGCTTTCCCCGAGCACAGGCTGTACAGTCGTCAATAGGTTTAAAATGTTCAAGACCAGAAATTGACCGTTTGATTAGCCTCATACCTCTGTTGCCTAAATGACCAAGGGTCTATGCCTGATCTTAGCCGTTATAGTATCAGTTTGAGATAGTAAGGAGGTATTTGCAAGTGGATTCTTTAAATTTAATTTAAACATGTTATTTATTAAGGGCGGCGTCTGGCTATATCTCGAAAACTGTTTATCTGGTCAATTTTGCAATTTTTTTACAAAATCTTTAAAAATTATTTTACCTTTGTAACTTTTCGCTATGTCACGTGATACACCACACAATTGTGTTTTCATAAAAAAATCTATGTAATTTTAAACTAAACAATATTTTAAAGTGTGATGTATGTCATTATTTTTCTGTGTAACGGAAAGACAACATGTAAATATCCTTCATTTTCATGTTTTATTTAAATTGGACACCCTATATTTTTTATTACCAGTAGATTCCTCTGAAAAAACCGTTCATTTTTATTAAGCATTTCCTATACCTGCAGTTAATAATTATCGATATTTTGTAAGTTTTTTAAAGACAAAAAAAACACTTAAAAACTTTAAAAATAACACAGGCACACAACACAGACCCGCTGAATCCGAATTTGAGGTCCATTTAGCTCATACGCCTTTAAAATTTTTAGTAAATTGTAAAAAAAAACCGCTAAAAATGGCAAAAACCACAAAAAATTACAATTTACTTAAAATTTTGAGGGTGTTCAGGCTAAATGGACCTCAAATTCGGATTCAGTGCATCGAAATACATAACCCTAGATGGGTCTAGTTAAATGTCTTAGTTTCGGCTCAAACCTAAACAGAATTTTTCTTTCAACCAAATTTATTTTTGCAATATGTTTTTGTAATCCCAGTTGCACACTACTTTTATTGAAAACTTTAACTACACTTATTACCTAATTATTTATATGATTAAAAAAGTCCTTTGCTTTATGAAATTAAAAATAGTAAATGAATTACAAAGTAGGAACTGTTGCTATGTGGTGGTACAAGAAAGTGGGTTTCCATATTATTGACATGATGATGTACAATTCTTACAAACTCTATAATGTTTATTCTGGGCCAAACATGCCTTTCATAGACTTCCGGCATGCCGTTATTGAAACATTGTTGGACATAAATGTAAATGAACCAACAGCAAATCGTAAAGATGTGTTACACCTTCCTTTAAAATGTGAAACCGGAACAACAGGGAGGAAGTTGCGGAAAAGATGTCGCTGGTGTTCAAAAAGTGGCATTCGAAAGGATGCCATGTATTATTGCAAAGCATGTGCCAAGCATTCAGGATTGGGTCTAGAACCTTGCTTTCAGGAATTTCGTAAGAATTTGTAGTCCTGATAAAATCTAATCTGATTGTTTTCTTATTCAGAACATTTTTTAATTTACTTTTGTTGTACTGTTTTAGAGTGTTTAAGTTTCTTTTATAGCATAGATGCTTTTTTTTTAATTACGTATGTTGTCCGCAATAAATAGTAAAAAATTGAAGTTTGTACTATTGCCGACACTCATGCGTCAGTAAGCACTACACATAAAAAAATACTGTGCAGTCCTCTTGACGCAACGTGTGCGTCATCATTATTTTTTAAAGACAGGTACAAAATTTTTTTAGAAAATGAAATTATTCAAACTTTTTACCATAAAACTAATAAATAAACAAAGTTACAGTAGTCAGCACCATGATTTCCAATGAGCAGCGAACGTGTTAAAAAAACATGTTTGGTTCGTTCCTGAATCATGCAACACCCTGTATACCTCTATGTAATTTTATTATGAGGCCCTCAGCCACCCTCTAAATTTTGTTAATACTTCTTTTTAATATCTCTTACAAGGAAGATATCAAACTTTTCCACAAGATTGGTACACCCTGTATGTTACTGTTATATATAACTTACCAGATCCAATCATATTGCGGATTTTGAGATAAGAAATGGCCAATCTCATGACAGAAGCTTTGTCCAATTGAGAAACTTGATCCGTTGAAATCGGCAAAGAACTGGCGAGATCATAGTACAGTTCGCTTTCTTTAGATCGACGGCATCTGGCAGCATTTCTGGATTTTTCTTTTCTTTTCTCGTTATTCCTGTAAAAAACATTTTAGATTTAGCGAAAATAAATATTAAAAAAAATAAGTTGAAATCGGTATTATTTTAATTTGAACATTTCTCGCTTGAAAATGTTTGACGTTTGACCAAAACGATTTCCATGTTTATGCTCGTATTTCAAGTATTCGAATTATACGAGTTAAAAAGAACAGATCTTGTTATTATTATTTGACCTAAATTTGCTAAAATAAAAATACTTGATAACTTAGCGAAAATAAATATTAAAAAAAATAAGTTGAAATCGGTATTATTTTAATTTGAACATTTCTCGCTTGAAAATGTTTGACGTTTAACCAAAACGATTTCCATGTTTATACTCGTATTTCAAGTATTCGAATTATACGAGTTAAAAAGAACAGATCTTGTTATTATTATTTGACCTAAATTTGCTAAAATAAAAATAATTGATAACTATAACTAAATCGCATTACGTATAAAGTTAATAGAAAAATTATGTCAGTAATAAAATTTTACGATTTACAAAATTATATTGTGGATTGAGAGGGTTTTAAGGGGCTAATAATTCTAATAATTACAAGTCATGTGTAATTAATAATGTACGTCACAGTATTAACCACAATGATTTTTTTCTGCATGAATATTAATGTTGTCGTTTAAACTACCTAATTAAACCAAAAAGATAATTCATTAAACGCATATTTAATTCATTACAATCTCTTATTAAATATCGCTCACGTGATGTATTTAATAATCGGTAATCATACCAGATTCAATTCGTTCACTATACGATATCAACGTCAATAATTTTATTATAGCTGTTACATTACATTATTGCTTATGGCTGAGAATAGTAAGGAAAATAAATGGTCGGCTATATAAAACAATTATTCTTGTTTGCGACTCAAGATATCAAATTACTGAATATATATTTTTTGAGCTAAATGCAAGTGCAATCAATTGTTGATAAATAAAAGATTTTCTTTGTATTTAGCCCTTGAGTATTTCGTTAGCACTAAGGTGTGTTAGCATTTTTGCTTGCTTGATGTGTTGTATACAGCAGGCATATTTTTTTTGTAATAGAAGAAATATTTATAATTCCACTATGGAAATCACAAGCTTGGTACCCAATTTTTACTAAATTACTGATCATTGAAGATCATTTTTATGTTGGTCCTATTATAGTAAAAACATTTTAACGAATCCTTTCAGGAACAGTCACCCTCTACGACTGACCCATATCCTGTTTGTAGGACCGTTATCAGGAAAGCGGATGAAACAATAGGATTACCAGAAGATGCAATCAGAGTACTGATATCTTTAAGTGATAGCACCTTACCCCAGTATAATGTTGCTAATAAAAAATGGTGAACATTTTGTAGAACTAGTAATGTTGCTTTAATAGATCCATCAACAAATAATATAATTGAATATTTGAACGAACATTTTAATAGGGGCTCCAGTTACTCTACTTTAAACACTCTCAAATCTCCACTACCTAGAGAAGAAAGGAGTGCAGTAATTTAATTTGCAAAACGTAGAACAGATTCAAGAGGTAGAATTTTATTTATACCTCATTGTTTAGTGCTTATTTGTAGTTAAAATGAAAATTTTAATACATTTGATTGGCCTAATAAAAGTTTTTGTTTAGATTTAACATGGTTTTTACTGTAATAAACCTTTTCTTTGGACTTTATTTATACATAGCCGTATCGTAAGTATTTTAATTAATTGGAAATTTTGTATTAGTATATATTATAATTTTACAGTTATACAGAGTGTTCAAAAAGTGTTCGTTCAGCATTAAAAAATATTTTACAAAAAAAAAAAAAAAAAAAAAAAAAAAACTAGAGATCAACTGGTAAGTCGTTTTCTCAAGGGTGTTTGTAAACCTCGAGCAGTTTTTCTTAAATATTCATACGTGGAATCTACAGCATGTCCTGAAATATTTGTTAACTTTAAATTAGTAACTTTAATGGTCCTTTGTACTGCACTTAGAATCCACCACCACGTCCGTAAGAGATCCAAATTTCGTACAAGTTTCTGGGGACCCGACCTGAAACCACCATAAGACATATTTCTTTTCACGAAGTAATCATCATTAAAACACTTAACACGCTTATCTTTCTAGTTTCGATGCTAAGACCGATTTCGACAATATTTCGATACACAAAACTCTCAAGGCACATAATAAATTAACCATCCACTTTTATTTCCACCCTAATTCGTTTTTCGCTGGGAACTAAGAAACTGACGTCAGAAAAGGCCATTAAAACGGATATAAGAACCCGAAACCAAATGAGCTCGGACTCATTCATTTTATTATTTTACATTCAAGCAATCACTTTATTATTTGTATCCAGTTATAAAGTCTGTACCTTTATTAAAACGCTCTTCTTAAACGACGTCTATCCTACAATACTTCCTATCCACGTGTCATCGTCTCGACGCCCAACGTCCTGCCGTCCTACTTCCCTACCTTTCCACGCTATCTTTTCTAACACCACTTTAGTATTTCCTACCATTATATTCATCCCGACGCTCAACGTCGTGACGCACTACTTCCCTATCTATCTACGTCTCAAACGCTGTTACATTCCACACCATCTAAATATTTCCTACCTTACATTCATTCCGCCCAACGTCCCATCGCTCTACTTCTCTACGCTTGCCGCCCCTAAATATTTCCTTCATAATATCCGACACCCTTCGTTACGTCCCGCACCACCTAAATGTTTCTACCGCATATCTGTCCCAATGCAGTACCGTATTAAATACCTTCCTCTCCACCACGGGGCTAGGCGCCTCGACGCAAAGCGACGCTCAACGCTGCGACGTACCTAAATTGACGCCGTCACAACGCTAGATGAAATTATTACATAATCTAATGTCGTTTAGACGAGGGACTGACATTTTCTTCAAATATTATCAATGTAACCAATAAACCATATGGCCTTCAGTCGTTACCCCGAAAGACAGGTGAGTCATCTATTTTCGGGTGAATTTAAGTTAATTCAATAGAAATTATAAAAATCAATATTAAGATATATACAGGGTTGTATTAAGTTATTTCAATAGAAATTAAAATAATCAATAATAAAAAATATACAGGCTTGTTGTATTAAGTCATTTCAATAGAAATTATAAAAATCAATATTTTAGAAATGTACAGGGATGTACTATCTTGGATAAATTGTACAAACCGAGATGGTAAAATTTAACAGTAAGTTAACCAACTGGTGAATACACTGTTCGTTAGCTCAAGGGGGACACCTATATGCTAAGCCACCCATTCTACAAGGTTTGAAACAAAGCATATCTGAAATCAACTGGCGAATTGGCGCTGTTCGTTAACTCCGTTGGTCATCAACCTATATAAGAATATAAACATCAACACAGTAGTTAACCAACTTTGCTTCGAATCCTGGTTTACCTTAATTAACATTATCACAACGTGGGTATATAAATTATTAATTAACTAGACGATCTACTACTAGAGAAAAAAGGCCACATACAGTAATTATTAACTAAAATACCATAAACTTGCGAGGTAAATAATAACATTTCAGACAGTAAAACAACGATCAAATGGGGTACCGGGGGTGGGCGGTTACAGTACATGGACATTACAAATTAAAAAATTTGAAATTTTGACTTGGTCACCTTCTTTTGTATACCGGTGAAATGTTGTTTTAATCGGCCATACCTATTTTATTCATCTCGTCTTAGAATAGTTATTTTTGTATCTAGTGCGCGAAATGCTACTTTGGTGATCGAAAATTGATTTTTTTTTTAACGAAGCGCAGCCGAGTTAAAAAAATAGTCGAGATCACCAAAGTATTTCGCGCATGAGATGCAAACAAAATTTTTTTTACAAACGTCAAAAATATTATTCTAAAATAAGTAACATGCTTAGCTTAATAAGAAAAATAAGAAAAATAGTATTGAACTGGCTTAAACTGTCCAAATCAAGTAATTACTGTAACTATGGAAGTAAAATGGCATTTGTTGACAATTATTTCAAAGTGACAGTTCTTGATAATTATTGACAGATGCGGCCAATTCAGTAATTTCAAATCTTTTACCGGAGAAATCGAGGCCAGTATGAAAATGCATATCAGCAATTTAAAGAGTAGTGTGAAGCAAATAAAACCAGAAAAATATCCGAAAATGTGCTGTTGGCATATTTTGCAGAGAAGTCTAAGAAGCTGAAGTCTTCCACGTTATGGGCAATATATTCTATGTTGAAAGCAAAGAGGTTAGAAAGGGTAGAGGTAACATAGGAAGCATTTGTCGCTGCGCGAATTTTGCCAAAACCGAAAAACTGGGTGGAAGGAGTAGGGAGATGTTCTGGGCCGGACTTAAATATTTGTATTGTAGTACCTAATTTTGGTGGGTAACTAAAAGATGAAAAATTATGAGACGTTTTTTTGACTTTATTTGTTAGCACGATTCATGTATGTTCTGTCAAACGAAGTTTAAATTATTAAACGAAGATTAAAATGTCATTTTAAACTCCATTTAATTACTTAAACTTCGTTTTTGTTAATATAAAAAAGTTATTTTAAGCTTCGTTTAGTATTTTAAACTTCGTTTAACAAAACGGTGAAATCGACCCTAAGTAAAAGTTTATAAAATTATTGCAACAAAATAGCTGTTGAGACAAAAAGTTATCGAAACAGCCAAAGTACTTTTTGCTCGAATTACAAACAAGATTTTTTCTACGATCACACCAAAATAAAATAAATAATTAAATTTTATTAGAAATGGGTTACCTTTTCGTTCGTTGTAATATTTTAAGTTTATTTGACATAGGCCCACTCTTCAAAGAGAAAAAAATGTTTTGGTACTCATATGCCGGTAATTATTTATGATTTAATTATTTACGGAAAATACCATTCAATGAATTAAAATATTAGGAAGTCAATTAAGAGTTATTTATGTAACCAGTTACTAAATGCCTTATTTTGTATAACGAGTAAATATTTGCGGAACGAGCAGACCGAGGTCTCGCAAAATGAACGAGTTACACAAAACGGCATTTCGTAACGTGTTTACATACAAGATTTTTTCTAATTTTGACTTGATTATTTATAAAATTGTGTTGAAAAATGATTTATCATCATTCTTCTGTAGGTACTTCCAATCAAATATTTTAGAAAATTGTTTTTATTTGATTGCCCTACGACGTTTTTTTTTTTCAATAGTAATAATAAAAATAAGGGACATGTGTAGTGTTGCCGATCTAATTTTTGACATTACCCGCGAGAAATTTGAAAAAAAAAAACATTTTTACCCATTATCCTTAAAGGAGTACGTCACAATTATACCCCCAACATTTCTGGGCAATTTTCAATAACGGTGTTATTTTTTTAAAAATAAAACGCATTCTACAGCTTTTCTTTTTTGTTTTATTTTTTGTTGTTAAACGTAATGTCATATTTTCAAATGTGAAATGTCACTATTCATTGCCTATTTTTCGATATTTGGTTTTTTTCGATTTTTCGTTTTTTGGATTTTTAGATTTTTCGATTTTTTATTTTGCAATTTTTAGATTTTTCGATTACTCGATTTTTCGATTTCTCGATTTCACGATTTTTCGATTTTTCAACTAAAGAACCAAAAAAGAGGCAGTTTTATTTATTTTCATTTCGTAACTAGTGACATAATCAACTTTTCGTAATCAGTTGCATAATGTTCTACTTTATGCAACTGGTTGCATAAAGTAAATCGTTTTGAGACTTGCTGCGATTACAAAATATATTACTTTATAAGTCAAAATTAGAGAAAATACCAGAATGTAAATTAAATGGATAGATCCCATATTATTATAGAGCAGTGTTTCTCAAACTTATTTGGCGACGGAACCTTTTTGAAAAGCGAAATATTTTATAGAGTCCTAAACACATAAATCACATAATTTAAAAAAATTATTTCAAATTTTTAATTAATTTTAATTTGGGAATATTTTGTTCGGACTTTGATAAGGTACGCGAAGCAAAAGCTATAGATTTCTCAATATGTTTTTCAAAAACATGACATATCATGGCCCTTATTCCCACATTTGATGCATCTACGAATAATTTAATCGGCAACTGAGGCTGAAAATGCACAAGAACATCATTTGTTGCTAATTTATTTTTGATTTATTCCAAAGATTCCTTGCAAGAATTATCCCAAATCCATTTCGCCCATAAAAAATAAAATAGAAAAAAGTCCTAAAGCAAAATCATATCATCCTACCTCTTAGTGACTTAAAAAAAATACTTTTCAAAAAAAGATCCTCAAGCCAGGTCCCTCCATTTTGTGGCGATAGTACTTTTTTTATTGTAATTATTTTCTTCGCGGAGCCCTCACAAAGGCTTTGCGGAGCCCCATGGCTCCGCGGAGCACACTTTGAGTAACACTGTTATAGAGAATTACTAAATAAATAGTTTTAAGAAAACCATTGAAACCAGTTGTGAAGTTTGGAACGAATAAATTGGCAATGATTTTGATATTTTTGTATTTGATTGTATGTTTCTCTTTTCACTTCCTAAAAAAAGATTCCCCATGAAACAAGAAATAGTAAACAGTTTACAATAATAACCTTTATTTGTTACTTATAACATGTACCAATGACCAAGTCCGATTCTGTTTATTTTCAAATCAACAAATATGGACGTCGACAGAATCCTTAAAAATTAAATATGTCATCGAAATATATGTAAGTTTCTTTTATCTCCATCACATTTCGCAGGTTTATTATAAATAAAGCTTTTTACAACACATCTTGGCATTTTCAACGTTAATTTCCAATATTTAAGTCACTAAAATACCAAATTAATTCTCGTTGACACATTAAATTTGGATGGACAACGCTCTGACATGTGATGTTCTCAACTGTGATTGGTGGGTGTGAATAATTTCGAAATGGGATTATGCGCAGTGTCTTATGTTCCATCTAAGGTTTATATAATCTAAGGTTGAAAGCAACATTCAATGTTAAAGAAAACGTGGATTTTAAGAAATTTACCAAATTGGTTCCATATTTGAAAAAATTGTCAATTGAAAACCATCCTAAGAAATCTAAGGTATTGACTAGAGAGGAAGTTGAACAATTCATAAGAGGGGCAGATGATGAAACCTATTTGTTGGTTAAGGTAGATTTTTGATGATTGTTTTATGTGTTTTTTAAATTACTGATTTATTTTTAGGTTGTTTTAATACTGGGTATTTCGGGTGCTTGCCGCCGTGAGGAACTCACTAAAATGACGGTCGATGACATAGAAGATAAAAATTCCATTTTGATTGTTAAAGTACCCGATACAAAAACGAATATACAACGAATTTTTACAGTTTCAAATTTAGATTATATTGACATTTACCGAAAATATGCGGTTCTTCGTCCAAGTTATGCTACCAGTCGCCGATTGTTTTTGAAGTATCAAAATAAAAGATGTTTTAACCAAGTTGTTGGAATAAATAGTATTGGAAAGATGCCTAGCTTAATAGCAAAACACCTGAAATTACCAAATCCTGATGCCTACACGGGCCATTGTTTTCGGAGAACATCAGACACACTCCTTGCTAATACGGGGGCCGATATATGTGTTTTGAAGCGACATGGAGGATGGAAATCTTCGACTGTGGCCGAAGGATACGTGGAAGATTCTATCAACAATAAAATTCAAATATCAAATAAAATTTTAGACTGTGAAATTTCAGGATCAAGTGCTGTCAACTCTACGGCAGTTGCTTGCAAATCAAAAACGGATAGTCTTCCAACTCCCAAAACTACGATATCACGAGCTGAATCTGAGTTATCTGGTTTAGGAATAAATATTGGTTCGTGCACTGGCTGCACCATTAATGTTAACATTGTAAATAATAAATAAAATTAGGTAGTGTTAAATTTTCTCACAATTTGAAAGCCTTAATTATTGTTATACATTAATAAATAAATGATTTCTTGGATTTTTGCTTGATTGAGGAACATAAAGGTTAAGATATAAAAATCCCATATAGTTTACAGGCAGTGTGCGAAGTAAGTATTTCGCACACTACTTCGCGCACGGTGTCATGGTAACGAAGGAAAATGAAAAAAAGGGTCACTTCGCATATTGTTGTCAATGCGCGAACCTTGTTATTTTTTGACGTTTGTAGAAAAAATACGTTTTAAATGTTATTACATAGAAAACCTTCTTCCGATCATTCTCATCTCTGCGCACGGTGAAATTTTGTCTAAAAAGTAAAAACCATCTTATCTGGGTATCTATGCTGTACTAAAAATTTCGCCTTAAAAATCTAGTTCCGATGGAGTACTAAAATAAAAATCTAAAATAATCAGAGCACTTAACGAAAGTAAACCATGGTTCACAGACCTATCCAAGGCGTTCGATAATAGGGTTAAATTGTTATTTTATCAATTTAATAACATTAAACTGCGCGAATGAGTTTCATTTTTATTTTAACATATTTTGCAACATGTACACGTTTGAAAATCATAAATATTCATAATTAAATATTATTCAACGTGGGTAGTGATATATTTAATACATATTTTTTAAACTACATTGAAACATACAAATTCGATTCGTTATTAATTTCTGATGTCTAAAGACACGAGACAAGTCAAGTTTACAGTTGGTGCTTAAAATATTACAGATTTAAACAAATAAATAAGCCAAACGTAAAAAACAATATTGTTGTATCACAATATTATATTAACAGATAAAACTATAGTATATTATGCAACGATCATGTAATGATGGTTATTAATACACGAGCATTAACCGGGATACGAAACGAGCCAAAGGCGAGTTTCGTATGGTTTATGCGAGTGTTTTAATAACCATTACATGAGAGTTGCATACGCTATTTTTTCTACACCCGATAAATAATCAAGACCTATAAATATTATATTTATATTGGTATTGAACACAATAACAGTAATTACTCGTATTTCTATAAAAAATTCTACAAAATTGTAATTAATGGTATTACTTCAGGTATTGGTATTTCCCTAGATTTTTGCGGTAAAATATTTTGTACTGTATTTTCTGCTTTCTCCGATATGTGTGGAGGAGTCTTCTATATCGCTAATATCAGACATTTTAATATTATAATTATCGAAGTTTAGCTACCTACGAAAATTTAATACGTTTTGACAACTAAAATAATTACATAGGAACCTAGGACAAACGTCAAACAGCATGCTTGATTGAAAAATTGTAGGTTTCTATTGATTAAAAATCTGTATCGTAATGAAAAATCTGTATCATAATGGGTATCATTATGAAACGGATTATGGGCATATAAGTGCATTATTATAATACGGATGTAGAAAAATTTCATTGCACACCCATTTTTTATTTTTTTCTTCTTCTTCAAAGGACTACTAAGATTAAAGTAGCAGCTGAAAGTGTCATGAAAAGAATTGTATTTAGCTATCTAGTGCACAATGTGATACCGAAACCTATAGGTATAGTACCATAGATATAGAAATATGGTACTTACATAAAATCTTCAATATCCCCAACTTCAACAAACTGACACATGTTATAGCGACCGTTCTCGTAATAACCAAAACATTGACCGTAATCATAATCAAAAGTTTCTTGACAAGGTACCCCTAATTTGGCTAGTAAACCACTAGGTTGTAATCGTGCGATACTATCTTGATTACATTCCAGTGTTTCTATTCTAGCTGTATTATTAACTTCATTATAGCAGTTATAAGAACTATAATATGATGGTTCTTCAAATTCATTATATACCACTGGAGTCATCTTTATTATATTTGAAAGCACAGTTTCATTTAGATTAATTTACTATAATTGTGCTTCTGTTGAACAATGTAATTCAGTAACACTTAGCAACTGATTTCTACTGATTTCATTCTTCTCCACTGATAGGGTTATCTAATCTAAGATGTCTCTTACTAAATTTGCATTAGAAATATTAAAAATTGCCGCAAAAAATAAAATATCTAAAATTTTTTTGTGTTGTCAATGTAAATAATAAATATTGCCCGATTTAATAATTACGATAGGTGAATGAAACAATTTAAACAGTTAATTTCCAATAATTATTATAATATGATAAATACAGAGTGGAAAGTTTAACTGGAACAAATTCTGTAATAAATAAACTTTGTCACAAAATTCAGAAAAACGTCATTTTTATTTTCAATGGGGCATTTTTTATTTTTCTAACAAAAGTTGGGTACAAATATCTCAGTTTCTAAACATAAAAAGTAGTAAAATAAATTATTGAAAATGCAATACATTTATCACACTGATTATTGCAGCCTAATTTATCTTAATTTATGAATTTTTAAATTAAACTATGCCATAACCTGTAGCATGTATTGTAGTATTTTCTGTAGAAATATTGATTCCAATGGTGTAATAATAACTATATAATTTAGATTTTGCATTAAAATAATCAGATTTATTGTAGAATTCTGGGAAATATCCTATAAGCTACAGAATCTGTAAGATATAGTAATGTAATGTAATTTTTTACAGACTTAGGCTTACAAATCTTATAGATTGTCTCAGAATAGACCCATTGAGTGCTTTCTTTTTAAGTGTTTAATGTTCTTAGAGTATGGAACCCTATGACGTCAAAAAAGAACGACTGATAACGGTCTACCGCGAACTCCTTTATTGACACTTGTCAGTTGTCAAAGTCAGTGCAGTTGGTGCAGTTATTTAAAATTTAAATCGTTTTATAAGTGCCATAGTTTTATTATATGACCAAATGCACTTTTCCGAAGATGCTAATTGTACTTGATTTGCCACAGAAGTAGATGATTGGGCATCAGTATTTTCAACCACTGGTGAATTGAATGGCATTTTTGAAGTTACCCTACAATGATTTATTAGGGACCTGGCAAATTCTTCATCTGAAATATAAATTTATGCACAGTATGTATACATTTATTAAATTTTAATTCATTACCTATGGATGCTCTGTCGAAATCTTCATTAGAAACAAGTAGACGGTATTTTTTATTTAGTTGTAGATCATTAAGTTCAATAAATCTATTTTTGTATTCATTTTAATCTTTAGTCAGCGAAAAACCTCGTTATTATAATATATAAAAGATATATAAAATCTATCTGACATTAAACCGATAACCCAATGACAATTGACAAGACAAGTGACAATGTGCTTGAGGGGAGAAGAGAACATGTGGGAGTTGCTCCAGATCAACAAGCCCCGTTAAAAAGAACGGTCAATTAGAGTCAGGAGCAGCTCTGGTACTGCTCGCAACGCAAGTAACCCAGATGATATAAAAGAAAGCGCTCATTAATAATCCACGGTTCGTAGATAACACGGTGGCCTCATCACGGTTGCTAAGGACGCAGTGACGTCACGGAATGAAAAAGTGAGTTGACTGAAAATATTTTACTTGGTGTTGTTCGTACATTAGTTTTTAAAAAATCTAATATTTTATTGTTATTTAGTGGTGTTTATATTTTTATTTTTGAACTTTGTTCTGGTGTTAGAGTTTTTATAATATCGGTAGTGTGATTTTTTGAAAGATAAGCTACAAAACAGCAAGGAAAAATCATGTAATGATTTCCGTCAAATTTCAGATGATTTACTTTTTATTTGAATTATAAAGAGAAATATTATTGTGTGAACGGTTTATTTTAAACATTTTGGATTATGGTACGGCCTAAGAGCTAAATTCGGATCACACCTTGTTTATATTCTGAAATATTTTGAAATGTTGGCAAGCCTGTAGCTAGCAGTAGTGTTGCTGTTGCCTACCAAAAGTTCCAAATAATTTTCGAGTATTATTCTGAAAATATCACTCACTATTATTAAATTAATTGCAGCTCTGTCCACCCGACATTTAAAAGTAGACGACATGGTTTCTTACAAGCATTAAACACAACAAAAAGCAAGAAAAGTCAAAGGGCTTTACTAAAAGAACCTACATTATTGGGTTTTCTACAGAACTTTTTAGTAAAAAGTAGTTACAAATAATTTTATAGAAGAAAACAAGGACCCGTTGGACTTGCGAAGAAACATAAAATGGATACTTTTGGGCATAAACCCATGTTGCTAAAAAACAGTTTTCATAACACTCACCTATGGTGAGAATCATATCCACCATTTCTTGCATAGAATATTGCTTCATTTTAATAATAACATTGCACAAAACACAAAATAATACCTATTGGAAACAGTTTAAATTAAAATTACATAAATTGACAATCAATGCCCAGACACCTTGATTAACTAAATTTAATGAATTATTTACATAAATTATATGAACTAGAGTATTCTCTAAAACAACAACATACATATAGGTATAGGGAATACCTATGTATATTGTTTGAAAGGGTCTCGAAAGATATTTCTAATAATGTTAAAATATACTGGGTGTTCTATTTAAAATAACGAAGTTTTTGGTGTTTAAATCTACGTAAAATAAATATCTATTTCGTAAACACCCTATACGATATTTTTGATCAGTAAGTATTTGAGGTTACAGCCCAGAAGACGCTTAATGTACCTTAAAAAAATCACTTTGAAATATTAAGAAATGTAGATATATTTGCAGTTTTTAAACACCCCAAAATTTTGAAAATCCTCGAATATATCAAAAATGATAGACTCTAGGTATAACAACCCCTTAACAAAGTTACACTAATTTTCTTTGCAGATTTCAAAAATGCAATAAAATATAGGGTGTCCCGATTAAAAAACCTAACTTTGATATATTCCAATTTCCTGGAGCACCCTGTATTATTGAAATTATTTTTAAATTGTTGCCTTTTCTGATATACATCTCACCGTAAAAACTGATTTTTTAGTTTTGGATATACAGACCGAGGCGTTACCGGTGGACCACCCTGTATACTTAAGGTACGGAAACAAAAAAAAACAATGAAAAATAACAGGTACCTACTTCTTTTAGATCAGTCTGAATCAGATAATTCAAAATCGTTGTGTTTGTCATGCATGTTCTTTTTATGATGCCCTATTAATTCTTTGTTTCATTTTAAATAAAAACATAATGATTATCTTGATGTTTTTTTTTATGGAGCCAACCTACAGTAGTGGATGCTTATCGCTGCTTTTACTTCAACATATTTACTAGAGAAAATATTCTTTGACCATTTGCTGAAGAATTAGGTAAACTTAATAAATAAAGAACAAAATTTGCTAGAGACATAAACAGTGGGTTTACTTAAAAACAGTAGGTCTGGCAACGCTGATCGTTTCCTCGAATGGTTGTCTGCGAGTGTCGCGCTACCTGTCTTCTTGCTTCCCAAATGTACGGAGCGTAACATTAATGCATCTGTCGTCCTTGGGGTTACCTCTGTGGTCTCCTGTCGCGCCTAACGAAAAGGTACTTTAAAAGTACCATTTGGCAATGCGCGACAAGCGACGCGAGACCGAGACAGAAGTAAGGCGGCAAATATTGCCACACTAAATCTGATGTCGTCGGTCGCTTCTACCGAAATGTGTTCAGACGTGAAGAGACCATTTAGTGTCTCCCTTGCTGTCGCGGCGCGTTTTGAAGTCGGTCTCTGCCTCGGCTTGCGAAATGGTAGCTTAACGGTAAATTTTACTGTTACATCGATTTCAAAACTTTTATTTAATATTTTGGAAGGGGACAAAACTTGAATTGATATACGTTTCCTCTTTATATTCGAAAGAGATACAAAATATTTTCTAGGATATTCATTTTTTTTATTTTTAAGACCTTAAAAAGGCCAACACAGCCGATTGGAGCTCTATTTTACCTTCTCTCGCATTGACAATAAATTGGTTTTTTTTTTTTTAAGATATCTTTGTCGTCGTTGAGTGTTGAGTTTTTTAGAAGTTAAACGAATTGGTGATGGTCTAGTCTAGAGGAAATGGCACTTGTCTAGCATACAAGAATGTCCGGTTTCGATACACGGCTACGACAGGCTATAATTTTAGAATTGCTTCAATTATTTAGCTTATACACGTCTTATTATTGATAATATAAAATTTATAAAAATATTATTACATGTTTAGTACTAAAAAACCATACTTTACAATAAATAATTTTAACATTATGTACGTCCATGAAACTCGTATTTATAGACGAAATGTCATTACAGCAATTGGTATACCTTGTTGCTGTGTTGTCAATAGCTTGTAAAAAAAATTCACTAATTTAGTTTAAAGGTTATGTTTACAAGTTGATTTTCAAAACATAGTGTGAGTAAATACTGATTATTTGTCTTTTATTTCTACAAAATGTAAAAAAAAAACTAAATAGTCGTTGTGAGGAGCTTATAGCTTCGTTAATAAAGAATTTAAACGAGAGCGTGATAATGATGCAGCACTATTACCTTCTTACCTTCAACTGCTGTAATTGTTTATTTTTAATATGTTTTATTCACGACAGCGCGATATTTGTTTGTAGCTACATCTCCTATTATCTCTGGGTAACATATTCTAGATACAAATTCTGGGTTGTCATTATTCAGTTTCACAAATTATTGATATTTTGATTAAATATTTTTCAAAATGTATCTGAATTTTAAAAAAATACTTTCTTACCAGTAATATTTTCATACAAAAATTTTCGTAGCATCTTCACTATAATAAATTTGTACATTTTTGAGATATGTTTGCTTGTGCTTAAAAAATACAAAAGTGATACGTATATTATCAAATCACAATACCAGATTACGTAAGCTACCTGACTAATGAATGGTGTAGGTGTGTTGAAAATGTGCACCGTAAAAATCTGAGAAAAATTAAGTAAATAATTAGAGATATTTTTTTTTAAATCACGCAGTATATAGTATGTCCCCCTAAGTTGGAATCATATGGAAAACTTGTTTATTATTAATTTTAGGA